CCCCAAAACCCCAAAACCCCAAAACCCCAAAACCCCAAAACCCCGATCAAAAATATATAAATAGAAAGTTTTCAGAATATTTATAATAATTTTTAAAAACATGAGTGAAAACACTTCAGAGCAACTTCCACCCCTCTCGAAGGAGGAGGTGGAGGAGAGATTGAACAAGACCCAGCTTACATTAGAAACAAAGCAAGCTTTTGCTTTGAATTCTTTGCTTTCTGGGTCATCATTTCGGTTCGATCTGTTTGAATCATCTAAGAAAAAGGTGAATTCATCGTGGAAAAATACTAAGAAGAAATCTACTAAGACCTCTAAGCCGCCTGAATATTACCATATTCCTCCTGCTGGGGTGGATGAGTTTACTTCTAATGTTCCTGGATCCATGAGCTCAATGAATGATGCTGAGATGGATCAATATGACCTTGAAAATAGCATGGGAAGACGCACATCTAGAAGAGAACGTAAGCCTGCTCATAAGCAAGATCTTGGATACGAAGAGCCTAAGCCTATAAAAGGAGTCAAACTTTCCGGTGCTTCACGAGAGATCTTCAGGAAATGCGAAGAGGTGATCAACAGCTTGAAAGAGACTTTTACAAGAATCCCTGAGTTAGCTCCTCATTCTTCCCAATTCGAGGAAGAAATCAACAGCCTTCGTGATGGCAAATATCGTAACACTGATATGTTAGGGGCCTCGATCAGGAAATTCCTCAACGTAATGATTGCCAAATTTGCTGAGAATATATTCATGTCAAAGAGAATGGTGGAGCTTGTCAACACTTTTGAAGATAGCTTCGCAATGCTTGATAATAAAGTTCTCTACGAGGAAACTAAAACTGATTCTTATATTGCCAGGAAGAAGTCAGGCTCTTTTGGCGGTAAGAAAAAACTAGTGAGACCCGGAGGTAGATCTGATAGTGATTATGACAGACCGATGAGCAACGAAGAGAAGAAAAATCTGAGCAGAGCTATCAGAAGTTTACATCCCATTCAGCTCAAAGGAATTATTTCCATTGTTAAGGATATGTTTCCTGAGAAAAATGGAATGCTTGAGTTTGATATTGATATTCTTCCTCCTCGTAAGTGTAGAGAGCTAGAAGGATATGTCATGAGAGCCAAGAATGAAGGCAAGAAACCTCAGAGATTAGGGGGTATAATCACCCCTACCAATCTTTCAAGACAGAAAAGTGGAGGCCCATTCCCTCCTAAAGGAAGACAAATGGGAAACACGGGAAATCTTGGCGCAAAGAACGATGAATATGGCCGAAAAGGAGGGATGCCATACAGTATGAGCAACAAAGGAGGTTCATATGCTCCAGACATGGCACATTTATCAAGCGATTCAGACTCAGATTCATCAAATAGCAGTGGGAAGAGTGATGGAGTGTAAGCGCCTACTTCCAAATTGTATTTCATAACTAATTAACTTAAGATTCCCCTATAAATGAAGTTTGGGGAGCTACATATTTATTTAAGATAAATAGTTTAATAAATTCAATTTTATGAATTAAAAAGGGGTTTTGGGGTTTTGGGGTTTTGGGGTTTTGGGGTTTTGGGG